CCTTTGCCTATTGAGCTAAACCAACCTGATTAAGATCCATAAATTAATCAGACTGCTACAGTTTCAATCCAAGCTATATATAACTAATGGTTAGTTCAGATGACATAAGGCCAGATAAAGTAAGCTTTCAAGAATTGGCTTAAATACAAAATATTCTTAGAATGTAGAGAGATAGAGCCCTAAATGCAAAAATGCTTTTTTTCTTTCTTGGGTGTGAGTATTATAGGTCTGCATGAGATCTGGATTTTAGAGCATGCATTTCCTCATATTTAAGGTTTTAAAACCTTCTTTTCTTCAATCACAAAAGATTGCTTGTATGTCAAGACAGTTTGATCAAACACATTCACTGACACAACGTGGTCTTTTCAGAACTTCACAAAGGAAAAATATTTAGTGTAAATCTACCACCAACTATTTGCTCTCATTTATTATCCTCTTGTTTCATCTCACTGCCTGCTTTCTGGAAAGAACAAATAAGAATACCTAAGTCTTGAATATGCCTATCTACATCATTTGCATAGTGCTCAATCCATTGTAAATAAATGACAGAATATATTTCTGAAAAATCTCTAATAGAAGAACACTTTAGTAATATAGCTAGTCCCTTTCCATTTGGCATAGTATATAGCACTATTAATAAAGGTTAAGAAATTTCTTTTTTATTTCTACTAGAAAAGAGGTCCACAAGTGTAACTTTAACCAGCTTTAGTATACAAGTATACAAATAATTACTAAAAGTTTTAAAAGTGTTTTAGTGTTGGCATTTCTTTTTCAAAATGGAAAATATTGCTATAGTATTTCTTGATTATTAAAACAAATTTTTTCATTTAAAAAAAATTGGTTTTAGAGAAAGGAAGAGAGAGAGAGAAACACTGATTAGTTGTCTTCTGTATATTCCCCAACTGGGGATCAAACCCACAACCTGAGTATGTGCCCTGACTAGGAATCGAACTTACCACCTTTTGCTGTACTGGACAACACTCCATCCAACTGAGCTACACTGGCAGGGCACTCTTTCATTTTATTAATTGACAAAATGAGCTTGAGACCAACAGGTAAGTAAAAGAGAATTCCATTAGTAGATACAAAAGTAAGTAGTAGACTTAATATATTATAAAGTTTACATTTCAAATCAGTGTAAAAGCAAATCACATTTAATAAATGATTCTGGCATAACTAGCTTTTCTCCAAAAGAATACAAAGCTAGTCTCTCTCTATGTTAATCATATATAAAAATAAATTTCAAATGTATTAAACTTATTAAACAAAATGCAAAAACATTAAGATTATTTAGATAACTTTGGGAGTGAAAGACTATTTACTTGGCAAAATGAGAAACCTAAATTACAAAAAATAAAACAAAAAAATTGCCAGATTTGATAATATACAAATGTACGAAGTTTTGTATGGCCAAAAATACCATTAAAAAGTATCAAACTGCTAGTGAGAGACTGTCAGAAAATATTTATTCCACAAGATGCCAAAGAGTTCATTTCTATATTTTACAAATAGCGCCTACAAATTGATTTTTTTAAAAGATAATCAAAAAAAGATATATCCCCCTGGCAAGGGATATACAAGGCATGCACAAAGGAAGAAATTTCAAATTTTTGTAAAATTAAGAGAGAAACATCCAGTGGTGGTGGAAATAGGCACTTTTTATACAAAGCTTTTAGAAGTTTGAATTTCATAAATGTATGAAAAGTAATCCAGGATATAGTAGATAGTCTACAAATATGCCAACATTGATCCCTCCCTTACTTGTAAATCTTGCTTGGCCTTGAGCCTTGTTTTCACCAAGAATATGGAAGAAGTGACACCATACCTTTCCGTGGTGTAGCCTCTAAAAGACTGGCACCTTTGCCCTGGCCAGGTGGCTCAGTTGGTTGGAGCATTGTCCTGTATACCAAAAGGTTACAGGTTCTATTCTGGTTAGGGTACATTGCTAGCTTCAGGCTCAAGCGGGAGGTAACAGATAGTGTTTCTCTCTCACATTGATGTTTCTCTCTCTCTCCCTCTCTCTCTCTCTCTCCAAAAAAAAAAAAAAAATCCTATGGTGAGAATTAAAAAAAAAAAGACTGGCACCTTCTATTTCTTCCTTATAAGAAGCTAGCTTTTATGAAATGAGAATGACTGTCCTGAGACCACAATATTGTGAGCAACCCAAGTTACTCACGTGTAGAGAGAGGGAGTTGTCGAGGAGTACCAAGACACCAAACATGAAGCTTCTTGAACCATCCTGTTCAGCATAGTCACCCACTGAATGAAGTTAAGTGAGTGAGCTCAGTCAAAGCAATGTGGAGCAAAAGGACCCAACAAAACCCCACCTGATTTCCTGGCCCCAAAATTGTAAGGATATAATAAATATATTTATTATATATATTATTATATATTTATTATATATTGTTTTTTTAGGCCACTAAGTTTGAGGGCGATATGTTACACAGCACTATATAACCAAAGCACAGGAGTATCTATTAAAGTAGAAGAAAAGAAAAAAAAAAAAAAACATACTTTTTGACTCAGCAAACCTATTTAGTAGATCTTGGTACATCTATATCATGGAATATTGATATCATTAACAAGAATAATTAATTGACCTCTAGAGATATTCATGATATACTGTTAAGTAAAAGGCAAGTGGCAAAACAATGTGTAGACTATAATCTCATTTTAACAGACTAAAACAAATACGTATTAATAAATGCTTTTATGAACTTAAAGAAAAATATAGATGACATTTGTAAAACTGTTAACATCAGCCTCTTGTAAGAATAAGCATAGGACAAATTCTGGGGACAGAGACTACGGGACTTATTTTTGTATACTTGTGAAAGAAGCAAAGATTTTTTTGTTGTTTGAAAGAAAAATCCAATAAAATATTTAAATAAAAAGAATTAAAGAAATTTAAATATGCTTGTTGTAAAAAACAAACAAACAAAAAAAAAACAACTGAACTCTACAGAAGTATATAAACCAGCAAGGGAAATCATGTAATCCTCTTTTTTTAAAATCCTCACCCGAAGACCCTTCTCCATTTATCTTCAGATAGAGTGGGAGGGAGGGAGAAAAAGAGAAACATCGAGGGCCGGAACCAAACCATAACCGAGGTACATGCCCTTGACCAAAATCAAACCCGAGACTTTGGTCTGCAGGCTGAAGCTCTAACCGCTAAGCCAAACCATCTAGGGCAGGTAATCTTCTTAAACCAGGTTAGAGTAACTTGCTTTATTTATTTATTTATTTATTTGTCTATTTATTTTATTGATTTTATAGAAAGAGGAGGGGAGAAGGAGAGAGAGAAACATCAATGAGAGAGATCACTGATTGGCCGCCTCCTACATGTCCCCCACTGGGGATTTGGCCCACAACGTGGGCATGTGGCCTGACTGGGAATCAAACCAGTGGTCTTTTGGTGCATGGCTTGATGTTCAACCACTGAGCAACACCAGCCGGGCTAACTTTATTTACTCAACAATATATCAAGGGAATCTTTCTATGTCGTAAAAATAGATCCTGATGACCATTTTTAATGGCTTTAGTATATTCTATTGTTTGAATGTATTATAATTTATTTAGCCAATGCCTTATTATTAGAATTCACATTATTTCTAATTTTTCTGGTTATAAAAACAAGGCTATTCTTGTAATACATCTTTACCTACTTGTTTTAGAAGTGAATTTGTTGATATACATATTGCTAGCAGTTTATATTCCCGCTAACAGTTCATAACAGGAGCAAAAATAATTGTCTAAGGAAGTATCTGACCATTCTTCATGAAATCATCCAAAAAGAATTTGCTAGCTTAGCAATTAGCAGATGTTTTCATGTTGCTTTGCTGTACAAAGGGACGTGGGTAGAACTAGAGTTATTGTGCATTCAGACACCCAAATTCTTACTAACTGGGGTGGAAGGGTCATAGGAGGTTAGCCTAAAAGTGAGAAAATTAGGGTAACAAGTCTTTTTCATGGAGATTGAAAGTAAATAAACTGAAGCAGATTTTCTCCAGTTTGCCATGTTAAATCACTTGCAGTCCCATCTTCTGGCAAAGAAGCCCAAACCTTTCTATTTACATGCTGAGAATAAAGTTTGTATTGTAAGCGTGACTAAACCGAAGACCAGCAGGAGAAACCAAAGAAGGTCTTGGTGTTGGTGTGTTGGGGCAGGGATGAAGAAGAAGGAAACATTTCTCTGAAGCAAACATCTGAATCACTTGATTTCTGAGCTCTCTGGCAAAATCTGTGGTTTCTCCAAGCTACATACAACCTGTGTACAACAGATACAACTTAGAGTTGTACTATCCTCCTTCAGCTTTATGTTTGTAATCTCCAGTATCTCGGGGTAAGTCACTTTAGCCATAGGAATACCCAGGAGAACACCCTTATTATATGAAATTATGTTTCTATCTTAGAAAGTCCTGCAATGAAGAAAGGTACTCAGATTACCAAACCTTTCAATATACCTCCAATTAATTTACATACACATTAGATAATAGGTGTAGAAAATCACATTATACCTTAAAAAATGTTCTGTCAAGATTTGAAAATACTTTCTTGTTTTAATCATCCAAAATATACTATAAAAAGGCTTGCTTTTGAAAGCAAAATTACTTTTAAAAATATGGCATCCCTAAATAAAAGTCTTCAGGTTAAAAAAAGCTTTTTCTCTGTGTCGTATGTCTGGGACAAATTTACAATATGATTTACTGCAAATCAACTTATAGTAGTGAGTTCTCGCTCTGACATACTACTTCAAACTACACACTCCTGTCTTTTCCTTTGCATCTTTCTGTTCCCTTAACCTATCCCCCCTGCAGCGTCCTGGCCCCGGCCCCGCCCCCGCCCCGGCCCCGCCCCGGCCCCGGCCCCGCCCCGGCCTCGGCCCCGCCCCCCAGCCTCGGCCCCGCGCTGCTCTTTCCCGGCTACCTCCACTGCGCGCCGAGCGCGCTGACGCCACACGCCAGCGCCGGTGACGCGCCAGCCGCTCCCCCTTCGTCTGCACTCGCTCCAGGGTTTAGGAGCGGTAGGGTGCAGACTTTTCAGTCCGGGGTCCCAAGCACTTCTCTGCATACCCCGGAACCTAGAGCGGGCTTTGCGAGACAGGAGGACGTGGCAGGCAGGTAGCCTCCCGGTCCCAAATGCCGCCCGACCCCCACCCCAACCCCGTTGCTGAGGCCAGGAGCCACCACCTCTGAAGTTGGAGAGGCGGTAACCGGGGCACTCCCCCTGCTCCCGCCTGCCGTTTCCAAGGGGCTCAGAAACCAGTTTGTTTCGTCCGGGTAGTGTGTACCAGTCTCACAGGGCGTTGCCCGAGCCGAACCGAGTCCAACCTGAGCGGTCAGCCCAAGGCTGGTGTGAGTGTGGGAGTCGCACTGCCCCCTTTCATAGCGGACTGTGAGAGGCTGGTTAGATAGACTTGGTTTCTCTTTCAGGATGTCATGTTGGAAATGCGGGATGATGCCTCTGCCTCATTAAGTCCCGTAGGAAGACTGCTACACCTAGACTTTTGCTTATAGATCATCACCGTTATTCCTACTAACGTCCTGTGTCGTTGAGGTGAGTTGCACTTGGGGGAAGCAATGATATGCAAAATGGCAAAATCATATTGGAGACGAGGAGACCTTGCTAAGAGTTGCTTATGTAGAGATTGCGTGCGTATCTTAAGTGCACGGAAAAATAATATCCTTATCTCACTAGAATGTGAATTTTCTAAGGAATAATATGTATTGCAAAGCAATCATTGGACATTGTTTAAAAATCTATTGAAATTATAGAAATCTTGGTATGGATAAGCAGTCATTTACAGGCTTAGATGGTGTCTCCAGTCTTAAATTACACATACGTTTAATTACAAAATGAGTAGCAACTGGTTGGCCTACAATCTTATATTTCAGTTTCATAATTTGAAACTGTTTCCATATGTAAGGCATTAAAAGTTCTGCCTTCAGAGTTCATCATAACTCATTTTTTAATATATATACAGGCCTAATTTTTATTTTCTAAGGCCCACCCCCTAGAAGCAGAAAAATATTTATTGCCATTCCAAGTTACATCAGAAATATTTATGAAGGATTAAAAGTAATATCCAATATGTACTTATAATGGCCCTTTCTTATGATGCAGCAGTATTGTGGAGATAATGGAGGGGAGCCAAAGATGGAGAGAAACAGTCCTTTGTTTCTATTTTAGATTTGTCTGGTGTGAGAGGATCCACAGATCATTTTAAATTGCCCATTGTTCTAGGTGAAAGGTAAGGAGCCAATTTTGTAGGAAAACAGGTTTTTGCACAGTAAAAGTCACCATTAGTTTAGTTAGGTTCATGGAACTTGGCCACAGGAGTTCTTTTGAGGTCATTTTAATAATACATTGACATTGAATTCCAAGTAAATTTTACTTGGTCTAATTTTCTACCTTCTAAGTCATAATCATGACACCATTTCATGAATGTAAATTATTTACATGTTGGTAGTTTCCACTAGGAAAGCCATTAATTGTTGCTTGAATAGACTTACAGAGAAGAAAAGCACATATTTGGGGGGGAAAAAACCTAGTAGGAATCCCATTTTTGCTTTCTTCTTTTTTGAGTAATGAGAAATAAGGCAGGGACTTTCTTTACTGAGAAGATAAATTAACCCTCTCCCATAATCCCAAAATGTTGTTTATTATTTTGGGTGAACTATATAAATGGATTGTAGCTGTGGATAGCACCATAAGGACTTCTTAAAAATCTGTTGACATCCCTTTACCAATGTTTCCCTTTAGGCTATCTTGTGCATCATATAGCTGAAGAGACTTAATGTTCGAGATTTGTGGGGCTAAAGTTTTTGATTCATAACTCTGACATTTTTCATATTTGGTGCACAAAATTTTATTATGTCAAACATTGCTTATTTATGGCTTAAATAATTTCTTAGTAAAATGTGAGGAAAGATGTCTAATTTGACTAGAGGCAATATATATGTGCATATATATTTATATTTTTTCGGAGTATAGTGGACATAATTGAAAAGGAGTGATACCATATAGAAAAACTTTGGATGTCAGGATTAGAAGTTTGGAAATGGAGAACTGTTTAAGGATTTTAACCGGAGAAATTGATTTAGGTAGCATTCTTCCTACTTCTTTCTATCAGTATTTATTATTTTTAAATTTAATGTAATGTTTGGAATAGATAATACATTTATATAGTTTAAAATTCAGAAGGTATTAGAAATTGAAAAATCTTCCCAACTATTCAGTTCTCTTCCCTGAAGGCAGCCAATATTACCAGTTTATTTGGTATCCCTTCAGAGATATTACTTAACTTATACAAGCAATTATGTGTGTGTATACATATAAGTGTTTTTATATAGATATATGTTTAAACACATATATAACGTAAATAGAAACACACACATGTATTGCCTTTTAATATACAAAGGGGAGTATGAACTATTTATTATTCTGGTACTTAGAAATTAATCTATATCAATATAAATGTTGCTTCTTTCTCTTTGACTTGAATATTTAAGTTTTGCCATTTTAAACAGTGCTACAGAGGAAAACTTTCATACATTTGAAAATGTTTATAAGGTAAATTCCTAGAAATGGAATTGCTGGATCAAAGTACCTGAACATTTATAATTTTGATAGATATTGCTGAATTAATATTCCTTAGTATTTGTATCAGTTTGTATTCTCACCATATTCTGTTTTCTTACATTCTTCTTCAACACAGTATAATAACAAACTTTCTGAATTTTGCAATTCTGCTGGCTAAAAAATGCTAGCTCATACTTTTTTTTTTATTGTGGTAAAATATACAGAACAAATCTCTTACTTTTTTTTTAATCCTCACCCTAGGACATTTTTCAGATAGAGTGGGAGGGAAAGAGAAGGAGAGAGAGAGAGAAACATTGAAGTGAAAGGGACACATCAAGTGGCTACCTCCTGCATGACCCAACCAGGGCTGGGGACAAACTGCAACCAAGGTATGTGCCCTTAGTGGGAACCGAACCCGGGTCTCTCTGGACCGCAGGCTGATGCTCTTAACTGCTGAGCCAAACCGGCCAGGGCCAAATCTCTTATACTTTTAAATTGTATTTTTCTTTATGTGAGATTGCATACCTTTGCACATTGTAACATCAATTAGATTCCTTTTTGTTGTTAACTTTGTTCCTTTGGTGGTGTGTGTCCCTAGCGGGAACCAAACCCAGGACTCTCTGGTTGGCAGGCCGACGCTCAACCGCTGAGCCAAACTAGCCATGGCATGTTGTTAACTTTTAATTTCATATTCTTTGTCCATTTTCCTGTTGGATTTTTTCTATGAATATGTAGGAGCTTTTTATTTATTAGAGAAAGAGCCCTTGGTGATACAATCTAAAAAAATATGTATTTTTTCTTTTTGTCATTTGAATTTTGACCTATACTAGTTTTTGCTATGCAAGATTTTTATGTAGTCATATTAATCCCTTAAGGCTTTGGGGGTTTGTGTCATACTAAGCTATCCTACTCTAAGATCATAAAAATCATCCTCATGTTTATTTTATTACAATTATGTTTTCAGTTTTTACATTTAAGTATATTATCATCTAAAATTTATGTTGGTAGAAAGTGAATAAAATGGATAATGGATTTAACTTTTTTTTTTCCATGTTGCTACCTAATTGTCTAAATGCTATTTATTTCAAAATTCATGTTTTCCCTAACTATTTGAAGTGTTACCATGGTCACCCACCAAGTCAAAACTTTAAAAATAGCTTTATAAGGTGTCTTGACATTAAGTAGAACAAGTCTTCCTTCATTGGTCTTTTTTTTTTTCAATATTTCTGTGGCTGTTCTTGCTTTTTTCATATTAACTTTAAAATCAGCTTATCTAATTTCTCTCACTCTCAAAGCTTTTGTTTTTATGAATACAGCTTTAAATTTAGAGATTAAGAATTAAACTCTTTCTGATATTGAATCGTCTTATTCATCCATCCATCTACCTCTTCTTTCTTTCTTTCTTGTTTGTTTTTGTTTTTTTCTTATTTTTTCTTTCTGTTCCTTTGATGCATCTTTTTTATTGGTTTATTTTTCAGGTTACTAATCCTATCTGCTGTAAAACCCATGCAATGGGTTCCTAATTTCAGATGTTTTAGTTCTAGAATGTTTATTTAATTTTTAAATATAAATTTCAGTTCTTTGTTGAAATTCTCCATCTATAAAATTTTTTAAAAAATTCTCCATCTGTATGGTGTAGTCCCAGAGATGTGGAAGTGGGGTACAGACTGACAATCCCCAGGAGAGGGGGTGGGGGGGAGAGATAAACCACAGAATTTATATGCATGTATGCATGAACAATGGACATGGACAACAATGCTGGGGACAGGGTGCGAAGGGAGGGGGAGGGGGTATCAGTGAGGGGAAAAGGAGAAACATCTGTAACAAAAATAAATTAATTAATTAAAAACAAACAAAAATTCTCCATCTTTAAAAAAAATCACTTTTATTCATCTTTTTCTCTTATTTTCTGGACCATATTAATCATGGTTATTAAAATTTCCTACTGACTCTTTCCAAAAGCAGCCAGAAGTGACCTCTGAAATGGTTCGCTATTCACTTGACCCAGAAAACCCCACAAAGTGATGCAAATCAAAAGGTTCAAATCTTCGTGTTCACTTTAAGAACACTCTGGAAACTGCCCAGGGCATCAAAGGTATGCATATTCGAAAAGCCACCAAGTATCTGAAGGATGTCACTTTACAGAAGCTATTGTGTGCCTCTCTGTTGTTACAATGGCGGAATTGGTAGGTGTGCCCAGACGAAACAGTGGGGCTGGATACAGGGTTGGTGGCCTAAAAAGAATGTTGAGTTTTTGCTGCACATGCTTAAAAATGCAGAGAGCAATGGTGAACTTAGGGTTTAGATGTAGATTCTCTGGCCATTGAGCACATCCAGGTAAACAAAGCTCCCAAGATGCGGCATTGAACTTACCGAGCTCATGGGTGGATTAACCCACAAATGAGCTCTCCCCGCCACTTTGAGATGATCCTCACTGAGAAAGAGCAGATTGTTTCTAAACCAGAAGAGGAGATTACACAGAAGAAAAAGATATCCCAGAAGAAACTGAAGAAACAAAAACTTATGGCCCGGGAGTAAATTCAGCATAAAATAAAGACTAATAAAAGTAAAAGCAGAAGAAAATAAAGTAAGATAAAATAAAATAAAATTTCCTACTGAGAACTCGGTATTTGAGTCATTTGTGAGTCTATTTCTATTGGGGTTTTTTTGTCTTTTCATTTTGGTTGGTTGTTTCTCTCTCTCTCTCTCTCTCTCTCTCTCTCTCTAACATGCTTCTTAATTATTAGATGCTAGAACTTGTAAATGAAAGGTCTTAGCATTTCTGGAACAATTATCTTCCAAATATTGTTGTTTTGTTCTGGCAGGCTGATGGAGTATGAGCTGATAACCTTGATCCTGACAAGCACTGGTTTTAGCTTTGTTAGAACTAGCCTGTTGTGCCCTGTGTGTGCACAATGTAGAAATGGGCTAACGGACAAGAGAGGAATTTATATGCAGATTTTCAGACTCCTTGTGTTCTTTTCCCTCCTCCAGGATTTTGGCAGCCCTAACCTCTGACCTCCCTCTCCTCAGCCCATTAAGACTGCCGCTTTCTACTTAAGCTCCATTACTGCTTGTCACAGTTTGGAAAATGTTTTCAGGGATAAGGCTGGGGTAAATGTGGAACTCACTAATATGTTCGTACCTTTCAATGATTATAGCCCCTCAACTCCTGTGTATTGTTTTATGTATTTTACTCAGCATCTGTGGTTGTTTTGGGAGGTGGCCTAGTCTGATAAGAGCTACACCATCCTGGTTGGAACAGTCTCACCATTTACTGTGTAGACCTTCACTTAATCTCCCAGATTGTCCAGGCATACCTTGGAGATACTGTGGGTTTGGTTCCAGACCCCTGCAATAAAGTGAGTCATAATTTTTTCTGGTAGTGGGTCTTGCCTACATTTTGTAAAAAAAAAAAAAAAAAATGCAGCATCTGTGAAGCACAGTAAACTGAAGCACAATAAAAAGAGGTATGCTTGTATATGGCATTTCCCATCCCAGCTGTGTCAGGTATTCCCAATCTAGAGAAATCTCTAGTCTTCTGCCAAGCTGAAAGCTTGGAAATCACCTGGTTGGGAGAGGTGGATGAGGCTGTCTAACTGCTGCTTACCTAGTCACCCGATCTTGTTTTAGTTCTAACATTGTCCTCACTCTCAGAGTTACCTGGTGCTTCCAATTATTGAACTAGTTTGTAGTGGGAGTTGACTTATTTCCCACTGCTGGCTTGGAATACAGCTTTCTTTAGTCTCCCAAGTCAGTTGCTGCTTGTTTTTGTGTTTGTCAGCTTCCAGAATTTTGTTGCTATTGCTTTTCTTTTCTCTTCTGCCTTTTTTTTTTCTTATCCCTTTTAAGTTGTTAGTTTTGAGCAAGAAGTAGAGGTAACTATGTATGTTCATTTGATAGGTTTAAGTTTCAGTTGCAGTTTATTTTTTGACCTTTTAAAACTTTAGGCTAAAGTAAGTACTTTATGGTTTCTTCATTTTTCTGAAGGAAAGGCTTTGGCTATATCTCTGTTATTTCTACTCTGTGGTTAATAGTACAATTCTAAATTGTGTTGAAGTTTCTTATTTTCTGATGTACATAGCTCCTTTATTTTCTTCCTCTTGAGTCATAGACTATTAGAATTGGTAGGGCCCTTAATAGCATTATGTTTAAACAATGAGTGTTTTTAGATGAAGTATATAAGGCTCAGAGAGGTCAGGTGGTTTGCTTTTGGTCATGTAACTTTTATTTTCCAAATCCATTGCTTTATTTGTTATATCACATAACTCTTTGGAAAGCTCAAGTATCAAAAATGTCTTTGATTTTATGCTTTGAATATGTTCAATATCAGATATGTATTACAGAGATTAAATTGATATAATTGTTAGAGACCTTAAGAATATTATCACGTTGGTATTATGATTTTCATTTGATGTTGGAAGCTGAAGCATAGAAAGGCCAGATATTTGTAATCTGATTTTATTACAATAGTAAAATTAGAACAGGATTTTAATGTTCCTTCAGTTACATGTTATGATGATTTTGGATATATAACCCTATAGTACATTTTATTATCTTTTATTTCATTTTTGAAAATTTTCTAGAGTTGTAGTTCAGCTGAGAAGTTTCACAACTGGGAAATAGCTTGGTTAAATATGCTGTAAGACAGTGAAAGTAATCTATCATGTTTTCCTTTTACTTCTTCCTCTAGTGAACTATACTAGTCTAGTGTGAACTCTGCCGAAAAGTAGGGGTTATCAGTTGCTCTGAAACTCATCTACCACAAGTCTTTCATTGTTCATAAAGTATGTGCACTTGACATTATTTGATGGCAATTAGAGTCATCCTTCTTCTCTACCAGGGGCAGATTCTACTCTACTGAGTTGTCAGAACCACAATGCTCAGTAATGCAGTAGCAGCAGAATGCAATACTAGAGACTCTTAGAGCTTCCATCTTGTTAGGGTGGTCCCTTGAAAGAAACTGGCAACTAAATTTTGAGGCAGGGCCAAATTGACTAATTTTATTTATTTATTTTTTTGGCAAAAGTTACAAAATAATGATGGCTGTGAAATCTCATTATGTGGTTATTATTTAATGTAATTTGACTTATGAAATTTAGTTTTCTAAAATGAGTTTAACTTGATACTTTTTTCTAAATAGCATAGTAATGTAATATACTTTCATGTCCTGGAGGAATCATTAAATTCTAGCTGGTGTCCAGATAACCATTATATAATGCCATTTGATCAAAGTTGGACTTGAAAGTGTTTGAAATGGCTTTTCTACTTTAATTCACTGATAATGCTGTAGTGCTATCATAATAATTTCTTGTTTCTCTTAAAGCTGATAAAAACCATGTCATTTCTTACATAAATTTTGAAATGGAAAATGGTTATTATGTTTTTTAAAGTAGAAGAAAGCTCTTTCCTAAAAAATGTGTAAGGAATAATTATCCCATTGATTTTTACCACAGGCTAGGTTCTGGCCTTTAGTCTCACAGACCTAGAATATGAATTTTGTCATTTAAAGAAATTAGATCATTTCTTAGAGACAAAATAAAATTACATATTAGTATTGATAGGTGAAATGAGAACATGGGTTTATTCATTTATAATGAGAAATATGGTAAACTGTCACTGAAATTTTAATATGGTCTTTATCACAAGCCCATTTTCTCTCAGAAGGGAGTCATACATAGAAAGTCTGCTTGCTATGAATGGGAACAGAAAAGAGTAAGTTAGGTGAATTAAATATTTATTAGTTTTAGATTAGCATAGTGAATTCATGTATCTGTGCTAATGATTGCTTTTGTGACTCTCCCTCTCCTCTCTCACTTTTTTAAAGCTTTCACTACCTAGCATATTTGGCTTCTGTCCCCACCAGTCTCCTGAAATTAACTATTGCTAAAGCTACTAATGACTTTAATCAAATATCTTGGCATGGTAAGGCTCTGATTATACCAAAGGTAGAAATATAAAGAAAAGATAAATATTTATATTGTTAACAGAGAGGAGAAGTCCTCGTCACCCCCAGTTACTTGTGGGTTGGATTTTTGTGATATCCCAAGAAAAAGAATTTTCTGAAACTCACATGGAAGGATGAGGTATAGTAGAAACCTTTATTTACGTGGAATTAAATTCCTGAGTTTCCAAAATCCCATTTCCCTTTGTCCCGCCATAAAAGAAGTATAGCTAGACCTTTAGTAGACCTAAAACAGAACCAATGTCCAGAGCTTCCTTTCTATGTCTGCACAGTCCAGGCCAGTATTAGGCTAGTTTAATTTGTATTTCCTGGCTGCGGTCCATCAGTTCATTGCATGTGGGGTCCACAGGTCCACATTGCTAGGGAGGAAACGTGGGCAGGAAAAAAAACAAGAGAGCCCCACAAGCCAAGAGGAACCACGAGTGGGGAGCAACAAGAGAGAGACTTCCTTTGTTTAGAGAATTATGTATTCCCAAATTTTCATGGGTTTTCAGTGGCCACACCCTTTCTGGCCAACCATCTCTGTCCCCAGGTTTGACTGAGAGGCAAGTACCTTCCCTGTGTCACCCCACCTTTACTGGGCATGCCTCTGTCTTCCCTCGGTTGGACTCCTTTCCCTAGTGTTTTGCAGGGAATAGTAGACCAGTGTCCCCTGGGGAGTGCAAAGTTGCAGCTTCTGGTGAAGTTGTGCAAATGACATGCCTATAATGTCTGGCCTTCCCTTTACTCCTTTCCTATTATTAGTAACTAGCTATAATTACAATGGTATCAACATGAGAATTATATTTAAATTTAAATTTAAATAAAATTGAAAAGCAAATAGCATATAAGGAAAAAAGAATTTACGACAGGGAAGGGCTCACATCTTCATTAAAGGAGCTTTTACAAATTAATTTTTAAAAGGCTATCCCACAGAAAATGGACAAAGAACATGGATAAAGTGTTCAACACATCAGAAATACAAATGTTCAATAAACATGGATGAATTTTTCAAATTCACTGGTATGCAAAAGGATTTCAAATAAAAATTAGTCACCATTTTCTACATCAAATGGAATGAATAACAATAGCAACAAAAAGTGACACAGTGCTCACTATGTGCCTGCACTGTTCTGAGAACATTACTGAAATTAACTAATCCAACAGTTCTGTACATGCATACTGTTTTTATCCATGTTTTACAGATGAACAAACAGACACATGAAGATGAGTAGCTTGTCCAAGGTCACATAACAAATAAGAGATAAAGCCAGGATTTAAGTCCAGATTCTTTGACTCCAAGGTTTCAGTGCTCTAACTACTATCCTTTATTGCCTCTCAAAGATTTTAATACATAATAACCGGTGTTAAAAGAGTACCTAGGCCCTGGCCGCTTTGTCTCAGCACTTAGAGCATCGGCCTGCGGTCCAGAGAGACTCGGGTTCGGTTGCAGTTTGTCTCTGGCCCTGGTTGGTCCTGCGGGTAGCAGCCACTCGATGTGTCCCTTTCACATTGATGTTTCTCTCTCTCTTCCTCTCTCTCCCTCCCACTCTATCTGAACAAAAACTGGAAAAATGTCCTCGAGTGAGAATAAAAAAAAAGAGTACCTAGGAGTAGGCACATTTATACACAGCTGGTTAGAATGTAAATTATTAGACATTTCTGTAAGACAGTTAAGCAATATGTTTGAAAGCTTTAACATATTCATATTCTTTGAACTAAGAATTTATCGTAAGGAATTTTTATAAGTACATAAAAATGTACATATGGAAATTTTATCTAAAGTTTTTTAAGAATAGCAAACACTGTAAACAATTTACATGTCTAATAAGAGATTAGTTAAATAATTTTGGGAAATAGTCTTACTCAGTTTACATCTTATTGGAGATAATAGAGTAGTGCGGCTAATCAATTCATATAAGAAAAAGTTTGCTTTTCTCTGTATACATTAAGTATGTACAGTATTTGACTTTACAAAGCATTCTTATAAAATGGAAATGTCACTTTTTCTCTTTTTAGCTATAACGTGGTTGCATGAGTAAAACTGAGATAAAGTTTAACTTTCAGTAAATATTTAAAATACCATTTTTAAGTAAACACATCACTAAGGAATTATAATTTAAATTAAACATTATAATCATTATAGAACATGTGCTGATCTTCGTTAACTGTTACTTTTGTTTGTGTCTAGCATATCAGTTAAGATGCCTTAGAAAAAGAACCATGGAGAAGTATGTTAAACTACAGAAGATTGGAGAGGGTTCCTTTGGAAAAGCCATTCTTGTTAAATCTGCAGAAGATGGAAGACAATATGTTATCAAGGAAATTAACATCTCAAGAGTAAGTATATTTTTCATTTGGTTATTCAAGTAATAGTCTGGTTATGAAATGGGTCATTGTTAGAGATTTTAAAAAAAATATGGGAGTGTATAATCTAAAGTGGAACACTACCATAGTCCCAGGGAGAGCCACTAACTTCAGAATAATTTGTATATTCTTTCAGAATTTTTTCTATGATAGGTGCATGTGTTTTTATATCTACTATTCTGTAACTTATTCTAGTTTGAACATCTTAAATTTTTTTTTTTTATTAATTTTTGTTACAGATGTTTCTCCTTTTTCTCCCACTGATTTCCCCTCTCCCCTGCCCTGTTCCCAGCTTTGTTATCCATGTCCATTGTTCATGCATACATGCATATAAGTTCTGTGGTTTATCTCTCCCCCACCACTCCCTCTTCTGGGGATTATCAGTCTGTACCCCACTTCCACGTCTCCGAGACTACCCCATTCCTCAGAATGTTATATTCATTATATTCCACAAATAAATGAGATCATATGATACTTGTCTTTCTCTGTTTGGCTTGTTTCATTTAGGATGATACTTTCCAGGTCTCTCCATGTCGTCTCAAAGGATAAGAGATCTTTCTTTCTTACAACTGCATAGTACTCCATTGTGTATATGTACTACAGCTTTTTTATCCATTCGTCTATTGATGGACACTTGGGCTGTTTCCAGATCTTAGCTGTTGTAAATAGTGCTGCTACAAAGATGGGGGTACATATATTCTTTCTGATTGGTGTTTCAGGCTTCTTAGGGTTTATTCCTAGAAGACGGATCACTGGGTCAAATGGAAGTTTAATTTTTAATTTTTTGAGGTAACACCACATTGTTTTTCATAGTGGTTGCACCAGTCTGCATTACCACCAGCAGTATACTAAAGTCCTCTTTTCTCCACACTCTCGCCAACACTTGTTGTTTGATGATTTGTTGATGGCGGCCATTCTGACAGGTGTGAGGTGATACCTCATTGTTGTTTTAATTTGCATCTCTCTGATGATTAGTGATGTTGAGCATTTCTTCATATGTCTCTTAGCCATTTTGTATGTCCTGTTTGGAGAGGTGTCTATTTAGTTCCTCTGCCTATTTTTTAATTGGGTTCTTTGTCTTCTTTATGTTGAGTTGTATGAGCACTCTCTATATATTGGAACTTAACCTCTTATCTGATATATCATTGGCAATTATGCTCTCCCATACAGTGGGTAGCCTTTCTGTTTTGATGATTGTATCTTTCGCTGTGCAGAAGCTTTTGAGTTTGATGTAGTCCCATGTGTTTATTTTCTCCTTTGTTTCTATTGCCTTAGGTGATGTATCAGTGAAAATTCTGCTGCGTATGATGTCTGAAATTTTGTTGCCTACAGTTTCTTCTAGGATTTTTTGGATTCATGAGTCACATTTAAGTCTTTTATCCATTTTGAGTTTATTCTTGTGTAGGGTGTAAGTTGATGGTCTAGTTTCATTTTTCTGCATGAAGCTATCCAATTTTCCCAATACCATTTATTAAGGAGGCTGTCCTTATTCCACTGTATGCTCTTGCCACCTTTGTCAAATATTAATTGAGCATATTGCCTGGGGTCCATTTCTGGGTTCTCTGTTCTGTTCCACTGGTCTATATGCCTGCTCTTGTGCCAGTACCAGGCTGTTTTGATTACAGTGGCTTTGTAGTATAACCTGAAATCTGGTAATGTGATCCCTCCAACTTTTTATTTATTTATTTATTTTTATTTTATTTTATTTTTTATTGATTTTGTTACAGATGATTCTCCTTTTTTCCCCCACTGATTCCCCCTCCCCCTTCCCTCCCTGCCCCTTCCCCAGATTGTTGTCCATGTCCACTGTTCATGCATAAATGCGTATAACTTCTGTGGTTCATCCCTCCCCCACCTCCCCACTCCTTAGGGGATTGTCAGTCTGTACCCCGCTTCCTCGTCTCTGGGACTACCCCATTCCTCAAACTGTTATGTTCATTATATTCCACAAATCAGTGAGATCATATGAAATTTGTCTTTCTCTGTTTGGCTTGTTTCACTTAGGATGATACTTTCCAGGTCCCTCCATGTAGTCTCAAAGGATAAGAGATCTTTCTTTCTTACTGCTGCGTAGTACTCCATTGTGTATATGTACCACAGCTTTTTTATCCATTCGTCTATTGATGGGCACTTGGGCTGTTTCCAGATCTTAGCGATTGTAAATAGTGCTGCTACAAAGATGGGGGTACATATATTCTTTCTTATTGGTGTTTTATGCTTCTTAGGGTATATTCCTAGAAGTGGGATCATTGGGTCAAATGGGAGATCAATTTTTAATTTTTTGAGGTGACACCATATTGTTTTCCATAGTGGCTGCACCAGTCTGCATTCCCACCAACAGTGTACTAGAGTCCCCTTTTCTCCACACCCTCGCCAACACTTGTTGTTTGATGATTTGTTGATGGCGGCCATTCTGACAGGTGTGAGGTGATACCTCATTGTTGTTTTGATTTGCATCTCTCTGATGATTAGTGATGATGAACATTTCTTCATATGTCTCTTAGCCATTTGTATGTCCTGTTTGGAGAGGTGTCCATTTAGTTCCTCTGCCTATTTTTTAATTGGATTCTTTGTCTTCCTTTTGTGGAGTTGTATGAGCACTCTATATGTATTGGAACTTAACCTCTTATCTGATATATCATTGGCAATTATGCTCTCCCATACAGTGGGTAGCCTTTCTGTTTTGATGATTGTATCTTTCGCTGTGCAGAAGCTTTTGAGTTTGATGTAGTCCCATGTGTTCATTTTTTCCTTTGTTTCTATTGCCTTAGGTGATGTGTCAGTAAAAATTCTGCTGCGTATGATGTCTGAGATTTTGTTGCTCACAGTCTCCTAGGATTTTTATGGATTCATGAGTTACATTTAAGTCTTTTATCCATTTTGAGTTTATTTTGGTGTAGGGTGTAAGTTGATGGTCTAGTTTCATTTTTCGGCAAGTAGCTGTCCAATTTCCCCAGCACCATTTATTAAAGAGGCTGTCCTTACTCCACTGTATGCTCTTGCCACCTTTGTCAAATATTAATTGAGCAAATTGCCTTGGGTCCATTTCTGGGTTCTCTATTCTGTTCCACTGATCTATATACCTGTTCTTGTGCCAGTACCAGGCTGTTTTGATTATGGTGGCTTTGTAGTATAACCTGAAATCTGGTATTGTGATCCCTCCAACTTTGTTCCTCTTTTTCAAGATTGCTGTGGCTATTCGAGGTCTTTTTTGGTTCCATATGAACTTTTGAAGTACTTGTTCTAATTCTGTGAAGTACGCTGTTGGTATTTTGATGGGGATTGCATTGAATCTATAGATTGCTTTGGGTAGTATGGACATTTTAATGATGTTAATTCTCCCAATCCATGAACAAGGGATGTGCTTCCACTTTTTTTATATCTTTCTCTATTTCTTTTTTCAATGTCCTGTAGTTTTCTGCGAATAGGTCCTTTATTTCTTTGGTTAAATTTATACCTAGGTATCTTAATTTTTTTTGCCGCAATGGTAAAGGGGATTGTTTTCTTAGTTTCTTTCTTTGAGTTCATCATTGGTGTATAAGAATGCCATCGATTTCTTGACGTTAATTTTGTATCCTGCTACTTTTCCAAATTAATTTAGTAAGTCTAGTAAATTTCTGATGGAGTCTTTGGGGTTTTCTACATATAGTATCATGTCATCTGGGGATAATGAAAGTTTTACTTCCTCCTTTCCAATTTGGATCCCTTTTATTTTTTCTTCCTGTCTGATTGCTGTAGCTAAGATTTCCAGTACTATGTTAAATAAGAGTGGCGAAAGTGGGAATCCTTGCCTTCTTCCTGTTCTTAAGGAAAATGCTTTTAGTTTTTGCCCATTGAGTATGATGTCGGCTGTAGGTCTTTCATATATGGCCTTTATTATGTTGAGATATGATCCCTCTATTCCCACATTGCTGAGCGTTTTTATTAGAAATGGATGCTGGATTTTGTCGAAGGCTTTTCGGCATCTATTGATATGATCATTGGGTTTTTATTCTTCATTTTATTTATGTGGTGTATCACGTTTAATGATTTCCGAATATTGTACCAGCCTTGCATTCCTGGGATGAATCCCACTTGGTCATGGTGGATAATATTTTTGGTGTATTGCTGGATCCAATTTGCTAATATTTTGTTCAGGATTTTGGCGTCTATGTTCATCAGGGATATTGGCCTGTAGTTTTCTTTCTTTGTAGTGTCTTTTTCTGGTTTTGAATTATGCTGGCCTCATAGAACGTGTTTGGAAGTCTTCCTTCTTCTTGAATTTTTTGAAATAGTTTTAAGAGAATGGATATTAGTTCTCCTTTGAATGTTTGGTAAAACTCCCCCATGAAGCCATCTAGGCCTGGGATTTGTTTGCTGGGAGAGTCTTGATTACCTCTTCAATTTCCTTAGTTGTTATTGGTCTGTTCAAGTTTTCTATCTCTTCCGTGTCCAGTTTTGGGAGACTGTGTTTCTAGAAATTAGTCCATTTCGCTTAGATTGTCGAATTTGTTGCCATATAATTGTTCATAGTAGTTGTTGATGATCTTTTGTATTTCTGTGGTGTCAGTTGTTACTTCTCCTCTTTCATTTCTGATTTTGTGTATTTGGGTTCTCTCTCTTTGTTTCTTGATGAGTCTAGCTAAGGGTCCATAATCTTGTTTATCTTTTCAAAGAACCAGTTCTTTGTTTCATTGATCCTTTGAATTTTTTTTTTTTTTTCTCTCTATGTCATTTATTTCTGTTCTGATCTTTACTATTTCCTTTCTTCTACTTGCTCTGGGGTTTTCTTTTTGTTTGCTTTCTAATTCTTTTAAGTTGTGAGGTTAGATAGTCTATTAGAGATTTTTCTTGTTTCTTGAGGTAGGCCTATAGTGCTATGAACTTCCCTCTCAGAACTGCTTTCGCTACATCCCATAGATTTTGTGTTGTTGTGTGTTCATTTTCATTGGTTTCCAGGAAGTTTTTAATTTCTTCCTTGATCCCTTTAGTAACCCATTCATTGTTTAATAACATGCCATCTAGCTTCCATGTGTTCAAATGTCTTTGTATGTTATTCTTGCAATTGATTTCTAGTTTCATGCCATTGTGATCTGAGAAGATGCTTGATATGATTTCAGTCTTCTTGAACCTGTAGAGACTGAGTTTTTGCCCTAACATGTGGTCCATCTTTGAAAATGTCCCGTGTGCACTTGAGAAGAATGTAAATTCTGTAGTTTTGGGGTGTAATTCTCTGTAGATATCTATTCAATCCATTTGGTCTGGTGCTTCATTTAGAGTCTCTGTTTCCTTGCTAATTTTTTGTCTAGAGTATCTATCCAGTGATGTCAGTGGAGTGTTGAAGTCCCCTGCTATGATTGTATTGCTATTGATTTCTCTTTTGAAGTCCTCCAGAAGATTTTTAATATATTTTGGTGCTCCTATATTGGGTGCATATATGGTTATCAAGGTTATATCTTCCTGTTGGATAGATCCTTTCAATATTATGTAGTGGCCTTCTTTGTCTCTAGTTATGGCCTTCATTTTGAAATCTATTTTACCAGATATGAGTATTGCTACCACAGCTTTTTTTCCCTTTCCGTTTTCTTGGAAGATTTTTTTCCATCCCTTCACTTTCATCCTATGTGAGTCTTTTGTTTTGAGGTGGGTCTCTTGTAAACAACATATAGATGAGTCATGCTTTCTTATTCAATCAGCTACTCTGTGTCTTTTTATGGGAGCATTCAGTCCATTTACATTTAAGGTGATTATTGATATGTACTTATTTATTGCCATTTTTGTTTAGTGTGGTTCTGTTTTTCTTCCTATTTGTCCTGCTAATTACAGCAGTCCTTTTAACATTTCTTGCAGTGTTGGTTTGGTGCTAATGTATTCCCTTAGCCTTTTTTTTTTTGTCTGAGAAGCTCTTTATTTGACCTTCTATTTTGAATGATAGCCTTGTTGGGTAGACTAGTCTTGGATTCAGATCCTTGTTTTTCATGACCTGATTATGTCATGGCATTTCCTTCTGGCCTGTAGTGTTTCTGTTGAGAAGTCAGCTGAGAGCCTTACGGGGTTTCCTTTGTAGGTAACCTGTTGCTTCTTTCTTGCTGCTTTGAGGATTCTGTCTTTGTCTTGAATTTTTGGCATTTTGATTACTATGTGTCTTGGTGTGGGCTTGTTTGGGTTCTTCTTACTTGGGGCTCTCTGTGCTTATTGAACTTGAATACCTTCTTCCTTCACCAAATTAGGGAATTTTTCTGTCACTATTTCTTGAAATATATTCTCTAGCCCTTGCTCATTTTCTTCTTCTTCTTCGGGGACTCCTATGATGCGAATGTTATTACGTTTCCAGTTGTCCCACAGTTCTCTTAAGCTGTTTTCCTGTTTTTTAATTATTGTTTTTTTTGTTTTCCGATTGGTTAATTTTTTCTACCCTATCTTCTAATTCACTGATCCAGTCCTCAGCTTCCTCTACTCTGTTATTTAGACTTTCCAATGTGTTTTTTATTTCTAATAAGTCATTCTTCTTTTCTTCTTGGTGGTTTTTAATTTACAACTGGTTGATTTTCAACATTTCTATGTCTTTACTCATGGTGCTCATGTCCTTACACGTGCTGTTGAGCTTCCTCAAGATCATGGCTCTGAATTCTAGTTCTGTTAACTTGCTTAACTGCACCTCATTTATCTCATCTTCGGTAGAGGTCTCTTGTTCTTTCATTTGGCTTTTGTTTCTGTTTTTCACCATTTTGGCTATCACAGTGGGCTTTGGAATCTGCCAAATTTTCCCTGTGGGTGTCGGTGTTCTGCTATTTGTGGCTCCCTCACCTGGGTTTGGATGAGGCAAGGAGGACCCACTTTAAACACCACTGTCAAGTCTTAACTTTTCTGGTTAGAGTTGCTAGCTCAGGGAATGGTAGTTATCCTCTAGCTTTTTTGTCTGGAGGCTATTCGTAGCGGTCACCTGAAGAACCTTGGTTTCTGAGTTGCCTGAAAAACTCCCTCAGGTGCTCAGTGTAAGAGGATTTCCAGAGGGTGGGGCAGATGCTGGTTGTTAATGGACCTCAATTAGTATTTCAATGGCCACCGGGTGGGGTTGAATCTCCGAGGGAGGGGCCGCCGCCTCTCCCCAGGGCCCTGGGAAGTAGCAAGACGTCCACACACCTGCGTGGCTGCACTCAGCAAAATCTCTGAGCACCCTCCAAATCCCAAGTGTCCCCACACAGTTCCAGTCCAGTCTGCCCTCCCTCTGCCAGAGCCCAAGGTTAGTGGCTGCTGCCAATTTAGCCTCTGTCCAGGCTCTGTGTCGTGGAGCCACCTGGGACTTTAACCCGAGGGTGCTGCTCCCAGGTAAGGGCCGCCGAGGCCGCAGCTGCTCCCAGGTAAGGGCGGCCGAGGCAGCGGCAGCCCCAGCCGAGGGCGTAGCACCCAGCCGAGGTCGCTGGACCCAGCCAAAGCAGCCGCAGATCCCAGCCGAGGCAGCTGCTGGTCCCAGCGAAGGCCACAGGACCCAGCCGAGGCAGCTGCTGGTCCCAGACGAGGCCACAGTACACAGCTGAGGGCGCAGCTTCCAGCCAAGGCTGCAGCAGGTCCCAGCCGAGGCCGCAGCAGGTTCCAGCAGGGGTCTCAGGTCCGAGCCGAGTCTGCTGGTCCCAGCTGAGGCCACAGCAGGTCCCAGCCCAGGCCACTGCGGACTGTGGGCTCCCGGCCCCCTCTCGCGTCCTCGCAAGCCTATTAGGATTGAGTTAGTGTCCCTGGTTAAGTGGTCCTCCAAGCTGCCTTTCGGTTGCCCCTTCCTGACGATTTGTCTTTATTTTCATTGTAATTCCAGTTTGGTCCTGGGAGATGGTCTGTGTAGCTTCCATTCACGCCGCCTCCATTTTTTCTCTTCTAAAGTGTTTTTCCTTATTGATTCAACTCATTCTTTTTAACTTCTGGCTATATTTTGTTATTTGGACCATGTTTTATTGCTAACATTTTTTAACCATATATTGATGGAATTTTAGGTTGTTTAATGATGTTTAATTTAATATTTTCTCTTTTCATTCCATTTAAGATGTCCAATAAAGAAAGGGAAGAATCAAGGAGAGAAGTTGCTGTGTTGGCAAACATGAAGCATCCCAACATTGTCCAGTATAGAGAATCATTTGAAGGTCAGATAAATTTTTCAAGAGAGTTCCAAAAATTCCTAAACCATATGACGACTTTGGAATCTTTTAAGGATCTTTTTGTGAATGTATTCATAAGAAGAAAAGTGTGTAATTTTTGCTTCTATACCTATACATAGGGCTGTCAGCTTTATTCAAGGGTAATACACCACACTATCCCTGTGTAGTTTAATACTGGCTCACTGTTACCTGATTTTTTAAAAAGAAGCAATGTAGGAATTATAAGAATTTGGACAAAGCACTAAGAGTAATTTACATCTATTTAAACTAACTCCCTTTAAGTGCTATCAGTACGGCTACCGAGAAAATGTTCTGATCTTTAGAAAGTGTCCTATTCATGCCCTGGCTAGTTTGGATCAGCCGTTAGAGCGTTGGCCTATGGATCTGAGAGTACTGGGTTCAGTTCTCACTAAGGGCATGTACCTCGGTTGCACTTTGTTCCTGGCCCCGGTTGGGGTCGTGTGGGTGGCAGCCACTTGATGTGTCTCTCTCATGTTGATGTTTCTCTCTCTCTCTTCCTCCCTCTCTCCCTCCTACTCTATCTAAAGATAGATGTGAAAATGTCCTCAAGTGAGGATTAAAAAAAAGAAAGAAAGTATCCTATTCATTATTATAGTATTAAGGTATGCTAAAAGTGTTTTCAAGTTCCTAAAATGTCAAAGCTATATTGCTGTTTTGGCAATTTATTCCATTACATTTGTTAATGCAGTAACTACAATAAGGCATGGCTTCTCTAAAGGCACGTCAGAGTGGCTTATTGAAATCCTATTGAAGCCATTCCCATTTTTTTTTTTTTTTTTTTTTATCCTCACCCGAGGATATTTTTCCATTTTTTGTACGGATAGAGTGGGAGGGAGAGAGAGGAAGAGAGAGAGAGAGAGAAACATCGACGTGAAGGGACACATCGAGTGGCTGCCACCCGCACGACCAACCAGGGCTGGGGACAAACTGCAACCGAAGTACGTGCCCTTAGCGGGAACCGAACCCGGGTCTCTCCGGACCGCAGGCCGACGCTTTAACCGCTGAGCCAAACTGGCCAGGGCAAGCCATTCCCATTATTATCATAAATCCCTATAAATTATAAAACAGAAAGACAATCTTGATTGAAAGTAGAAGGTAGTTTAAATGACTATTTCAGTAAGTATCCTTGCTTACAACAAAACTTGGTATTTAGTAAAACAGAACATACTTTTAAAAAACAACATGAGCCCTGGCCGGTTTGGTTCTGCGGTTAGAGCATTGGCCCACAGACCAAAGAGTTGCAGGTTCTATTCTGGTCCAGTGCATGTTGCGGTTCGGTCCCCAGCCCTGGTTGGAGTCATGCAGGAGGCAGCCAATCGATGTGTCTCTTTCACGTCAATGTTTCTCACTCCTGTCAATGTTTCTCTCTCTCCTCCTTCACTCTATCTGAAGATAAATGGAAAAGTATCCTCAGGTGATGATTAAAAAATAATAAGGGTGGCAGGAAGATGGCAGCAGGCTGGGCCAGAGCAAGGGTCCGTATGCAAGAGTGTGAGCGAGTGTGAGAGAGCGTGTGAGTGCATGTAAGTGTGGACGAACAACCTCGAGCAGTGCAGAAATGGGGGGCAGAGGGTTCCTGTGTTATGGACTGGGAGCAGCCAGCTACCACGGTAAGCAGCTTGTCGGGACACTTCTCCCTGTGCGGCCGGAAGACCCTACCATCTTGGAAGATCCCTGGTCTTCTCTGGGAGGATGCAGCAGGGAATGGCTAGGGCCGAATGACCTGAGTCCACCAGTGCACCTTGCACCATCGGACCAGTAGACCCTGCTTTGTCAACGCAGACCAGCGCACAGTAGCGGTACTGTCAAGGTGTCGATTGGGAAAGCATCAGCCGAGCACCATCCCCCATAGCAGCAGCCTGATAGGAGCCAAGCACCACCCCCAGCAGCAGTAGCACCAGCTTGGGAGTCCAGCACCTTCCCCCGTGGCAGCAGTGACTGGAGGGAGTGGAGTCCCACCCACAACAGCAACAGAGACTCAGCAGCAGACATTCATCCTCAGTCAGCAGCAGTGCAGATCAGCAGCTGAGACCCATCCCCAGAAGCATCAGCAGAGGCTGATCAGGAGCGGTGCCCCAGCCCAAATATCGGCAAGGGTCAGACAGCCAAAACCTGCCCCTAACAACTGCAGCAGCAGATTTGGAGTAGAGCTCCTTCCCCAGCAGCAGCAAAGCCCCGGAAACTGGGCATCCTCAGCCCCCAACAGCAGCAGAGGATTGGGAGCAGACAGCACCCTCTGGCAACAGCAGCAGCATTAGTAGCATGAACCACGAGCTCACACTCGCTCCCAGCAGCATCAGGAGCTGAGCCCCACCAGGCAGCAGTGCACCGCAGCAGGGCACCTGGACCCAGCACCCCAGCAATGTACCAGCTGGACCCAACACCATAACATCTTCTCAGATCCCAATAGTATGAAACTAGAAATCAATTACAACGAAAACACTCAAAAAGATTCAACACATGGAGGCTAAATAGCATGTTATTCAACAACGAATGGGTTACCAAATGAGATAAAGAAAGAAATAAAAAACTTCCTGAAAACTGATGAAATGAACACTACAATACAAAATCTATGGGACACAGCAAAAGCAGTCCTGAGAGGGAAGTTTGTAGCAATACAGCCTACCTCAAAAAAGAAGAAAAAGTTCTAATAAACTATCCAACCCAACAACTTAAAGATTTAGAAAGAGAACAAAAAAAAAAAACAGAATTAGTAGAAGGAAGGAAATAATAAAAATCAGAGCAGAAATAAATTACATAGAGACTGAAAAAACAATACAAACGATCAATGAAACAAGAGCTAGTTCATTGAAAGATAAACAAGATTGATCAGTCTTTAGCCAGACTCACCAAGAAACAGAGAGAACCCAAATTAATAAAATCAGAAATGAAAGAGGTGAAGTAACAATGGACACCACAGAAATACAAAGGATTATAAGAAACTAATATGAACAATTGTATGCCAACAAATTCAACAACCTAGGTGAAAAGGACACATTCTTAGAATCATATATTATTCAAAACTCGACTGGGAAGAGTCAGGAAACCTACAGACTAATAACAATTAAGGAAATAGAAGTGATCAATAAAATCCCAGCAAACAAAAGCCCTGGTCCAGATGGCTACACGGGAGATTTACTGAACATTCAAAGAGCTATCACCTATGCTCCTCAAACTATTCCAAAAAATTTAAGAGGAAGGAAGACTTCCAAGCTCTTTTCATGAGGCTAACTTAACCTAATCCCAAAACCAGATAAAGACACTACAAGAAAGAAAATAACTGGCCAGTATCCCTCATGAACACAGATGCCAAAATCCTCAACAAAATCTTAGGAAATTGAGTCTAGCAATATATTAAAAAAATTATACTCCACGATCAAGTGGGATTTATCCCAGGGATGTGAGGCTGGTACTGTATTTGTAAGTCAATAAATGTGATACACCACATAAACACAATGAAAGATAAAAATCATTTGATCATATCAATAGATGCTGAAAAAGCATTTGAAAAAATCCAGCATCCATTTTTTATAAAACTCTCAGCAAAGTGGGAATAGAAGGATCATATCTCAACATAATAAAGGCCATTTATGACAAACCTACAGCCAACATCATACTCAATGGGCAAAAACTAAAAACATTCCCCTTAAGAACAGGAACAAGACAGAGATGTCCACTTTCACTACTCTTATTTAACATAGTACTGGAACCCTTAGCCACAGCAGTCAGACAAGAAGAAAAAATAAAAGGGATCCAAATTGGAACGGAAGAAGTGAAACTCATTATTCACTGATGACATGATACTGTACATAGAAAACCTTAAATACTCCATCAAAAAACTACTAGATTTAATAAGTGAATTTGGCAAAGTAGCAGGATACAAAATCAACATCCAGAAATCATTGGCATTTTAATTTAATTTTATTTATATTTATCCCCACCCAAGGACATTTTTGCATTTATCTTCAGATAGAGTGGGGACAAGGGGAAGGTGAAACATCAGTGTGAGAGAGACTCATCAACTGTCTGCCAACCACACGATCCGAACTGGGACCGGGGACAACTGCAGCCAAGGTATGTGCCCTTAGTGGGAACCAAACCTGGGACTCTCTGGTCTGCAGGCTGATGCTCTAACCACTGGCCAGGGCAATCTTTGGCATTTTTAAAAATACTTGATTGATTTTAGAGGAGGGGAAAGGAGAGAGAGAGAAACGTCGATGAGAGAGAACATTGATTGGCCGCCTTCTGCATGCCCCACACTGGAGATCAGGCCCACAACTTGGGTACGTGCCCTGAGTGGAAATTGAACCAGTGACCTCTTGGTACATGGGTCAACGTTCAACCACCGAGCCACACCGTCTGGGCGTCATTGGCATTTTTATACACCTGTAATGAACACACAGAAAGAGAAACTAAAAAAAATTCCATTTACCATTGCAAAAAAAAATTAAGAGACCTAGGAATAAACTTAACCAAAGAAATAAAGGACCTGTTCACAGAAAACTACAGGACATTGAAAAAAGAAATAGAGGAAGATATACAAACGTGGAAGAATATGGATTGTAAGAATTAGCATCATTAAAATATCCATACTACCCAAAGCAATCTATAGATTCAGTGCAATCTCCATTAAAATACCAATGACATATTTCACAGAACTAGAACAAACACTCCAAAAGTTTATATGAAACCAAAAAAAGACTTCAAATAGCCACAGCAATCTTGAAAAAGAAAAACAAAGTAGGGATCAGAGTACAGGATATCAGGTTATACTACAAAACCATTGTAATCAAAACAGCCTAGTACTGGCACAAGGACAGGCATATAGATCAATGGAACAGAAATTGACCCAAGACATTATGCTCAATTAATACTTGACAAAGGTGGCAAGAAGGAAGCCTCTTTAACAAGTGGTAATGGGAAAATTAGACAGCTACATGCAAAAAAATAAAGTTAGACCAGCAACTTGCACCATACACAAGAATAAACTCAAAATGGATAAAAGACTTAAATGTGACTTATGAATCCATAAAAATCCTAGAAGAAAATGTAGGTAACAAACATCACACGCAGCAGAATTTTCACTGATACAACACCTAAGGCAAGAGAAACACAGGAAAAAATTAATACATGAGACTACATAAAGCTAAAAAGCTTCTGCACAGCAAAAGAAACAAGCATCAAAATGGAAAGGGAACCCACTATATCGGAGAGCATAATTGCCAATGGTACATCAGATGAGGGGTTAATTTCTAAAATATATAGAGTACTCATACAACTCAACAAAAAGAAGACAAAGAATCCAATTAAAAAGTGGGCAGACCTGGCTGGTTTGGCTCAGCGGTTAGAGCGTTGGCCTGCGGTCTGGAGAGACCCGGGTTCGGTTCCCGCTAAGGGCACGTACTTCGGTTGCAGTTTGTCCCCGGCCCTGGTTGGTCGTGCGGGTGGCAGCCACTCGATGTGTCCCTTCACGTCGATGTTTCTCTCTCTCTCTCCCTCCCACTCTATCTGTACAAAAAATGGAAAAATATCCTCGGGTGAGGATTAAAAAATAAATAAATAAATAAATAAAAAAAGTGGGCAGAGGACCTAAGTAGACTAAATAGACCAAAAAGGACATACAAATGGCCAAGAGACAGACATATGAAAAAATGCTCAATGTCACTAATCATCAGAGATAGACACGTTAAAATGACTATGAAGTATTACCTCAAACCTGCCAGAATGGCTGCCATCAATAAATCATCAAACAACAAGTGCTGGTGGTGAGGATGTGGAGAAAAGGGGACTCAATACAATTAATATTTGCATTTCTGAGAGTATCTAACTGATATTTTCATATCTGAATGTGTGTCCTGGCATTGAATGTTTTTGTAGAAAAGTTTGAATTCAGTGTAATGCTTTTCCTCTTCTTGTAGGTAATTAGCATCATCTTTCCTTGATGCCCAAAGGACTTTTTCTTTAGGATTGAAATTCACCAAAATATGACATAGTTATAATTATTCTGAATCTGGTGGTGGGTTTTTTTGGAACAATTTGTACCTTTTCTACCTGCGCATTCTGGTTTTTGGTTGCAGGAAAGTTTTCATTTCACTATTTTAAATAAATTTGCATATAACTTGTATAAGAAAAAATATTCCTTAATTATTTTACCAGAAAGTTGTCTTAGTTTATAAACTAATTCTTTTCTATAAAGTCTCCCATATGCTCCCCAAAATTTTTAATACATTAAATAAAATACTTTTGTGGAAGTAGTCATTACTGAGTTAGTTCTGAGTGCTTATAGAGGTCTTCATTTAGAATGAGTTTCAAAAAGAGGCATCAAAAATTTTAATATTGATGTCATAATTGGATTTATTAGACATCATTGTAAGGAAGTCTTCTAAAGTCACGTAAAAGGCAGTATGGCACCCCAGCAGTCTGGCTCAGTGGATTGAGCATCGTGCCATGGACTGAGAGGTCCCGGTTTTATTCCCAATGAGGGCACATACCTGAGTTGTGGGCTCAGTCCTGCATAGGGGGCATGCAGGAGGCAGCCGATCAATGAGAGAGAGAGAGAGAGAGAGAGAGAGAGAGAGAAAGTGAGACAGACAGACAGACAGAAGGTTAAATAAGACCTGAAAAAGGGATGGAGAAGTAATTCTGAAGCAAAATGCCTGAGCTTAAGTAGAACTCTGCAATGTTTTCTGTTGCTTAAACATTATTTATTTGGGGGATAAATACTACTTAAAATATAAGATTAACAGAAAAGTCTTTCCTCCATGAGGGAAGTACTAATCTGTTATACATTCTTTCAATCATTCAGACTGAGTGCCAGCTATGTGCCAGGCACTTTGCACAGATGCTTGGGATACACACTCTCTCTCTCTCTCTCTCTCTCTCTCTCTCACACACACACACACACACACACACACACACACAGTATAGAAATTTTTTTTTGATGCTTTTATTTATTTTTTGATGATGCATATGTTACAAAATTCAAATGTTATGTAACAGTAAAATGTTTGCCTTGTGTTCCTACCTTTCAACTACTTATTTTCCTTTCTTGGGGGTAAGCATTGTTACCACTGTCTTATGTTTCTTCTAAAACTATTCTGTGCATTATTAAGCATATATAAAAATGGTAGCATACAGTACATAATTTTTTGCTTTTCTCTTTTTATGCTACATAAATGTTAATATCATATACATGATTTTATAAGTAGTGGGCTTTATAGGTTTTTTTACATTGTGATTTCTCACATGTATGTTTGGATAATCTTTTCATATCAATCATAAAGAGTTATAACAGATTCTTTTTTAAATTTTTTTATCTTCACCTGAGGACGTTTTTATATTTATCTTCAGATAGAGCAGGAGGGAGAGAGGGAAGAAGAGAGAGAGAAATATCAATGCGAGAGAAACACATCAAGTGGTTGCCACCCACATGACCCCAGCCGGGGCCGGGGCCGGGGCCAAAGGTACATGACCCTTGTGGGAACCGAACCTGGGACTCAGGTCCGCGGGATGACACTCTAACCGCTGAGCCAAACTGGCCAGGGCAAGAGTTATAACAGATTCTTAATTAGCTCAATCATATAGGTTGCCAATCCATGGCACATTAGAAGCAGTACCATATCGGAAGGGGGTATCATCACTAAAAGCAATAACACCACCACAAGGTGCAAGAAATGAGCACTCCTGGAAATAAGGCTGTAACAGGGTACTGAGAGACGTGAAAACTTGGAAGACTGTTCTTTGAGTTGCAATAGTTTCACTAGTAAGTACATGGTAGTTTAGTAAATGTTAGAAGCGCTATTGGCCATTCTTCTTTACTTGGGAAGAATAAGCATAGTTTTATTCTTTTATAGGAATAAGAGTGGAGCCCTGGCCTGTTTGGCTCAGCTGTTAGAGCATCAGCCCTCGGACTGAGGGGTCATGGGTTCGATTCCCAGTCAACGGCACATACCTGGGTTGAGGGTTCGATCCCCAGCCCAGGTTGGGGTTGTGCGAGAGGCAACCAATCCATGTGTCTCTCTCAGTCGATGTTTCTCTCTCCCTCCCTGCCTTCTACTCTCTCTAAAAAAGTAATGGAAAATATCCTCGGGTGAGGATTAACAACAACAAAAAGAACAGTGCAGCCCAGCCAGTGTGGCTCAGTGTGTTGAGCATCATCCCATGCACCAAGAAGTCACCAGTTCAATTCCCAGTCAGGCACATGCCCAGGTTGCTGGCTCAATCCCCAGTGGGGGTGTGCAGGAGGCAGCCAGCCAATTGATGAAGTTTCTATCTATATCTCCACCTCTCCCTTCTTTTCTCTCTAAAATTAATAAAAAAAAAAACATTTTAAAAAAAGAATTAGAGTGGAAAGTAGGATTAAGAAGTGTCTACCTATGTAAGAGCCATGGAAGTATTATTAATAATAAGTATTAAAATATGCATTTTCAACTTAATATGGATTTATTGGGACATAGCTCCATCATAAGTCAAGGAGTATCTGTATATCTGTCTACATGTTGTCTGTATTCCAGAAATGTTTGGGTCAGTGTGGTCACCACTATCCAATAAGGTGGCGTATTCTTGGTAGAAAAATAATTAATGATGGAGTTATTAACCCAAGCTATTGCATGCACATCTGGGTGATCAGTATACCTTGACTTTACACTCTAATTCTTTTGAATGTAGTTCTGTTTTTGGCTTAACAGAACAAAAATAATTAATTGCTGCTTCTTAGTAAACCTTTTAGTACCTTTAATTTATCTATGCTTTTGATACATATGTTAAAAAATGGAATGTAATGTTTATATTTTGTAGAAAATGGCTCTCTCTACATAGTGATGGATTACTGTGAAGGAGGGGATCTTTTTAAACGAATAAATGCTCAGAAAGGCATTTTATTTCAAGAGGATCAGGTGAGTTAGCATGTAGGAGATTGACTCTTCCTCCATAATGTTATTTAGAAGTAATTCAAAGTTTATTTATATATGTTTTTATTTATTTATAACTATAGATGTTCATTGTAAATACTAGGGCAGTTCAGTATCACATTTCTGTGCTAATTAGCTCTCAGTTTAATTCACCATCTCATTTCCTATCTGTAATATACATATATATATATATATATATATATATATATATCATGTATATGTGTATGTATACAAAAGACATATATTTATGTGTATAATTTAATTATTCATTATAACTGATTAATTCTGTATCCTGTCAATCTGGCTTACTGCTGCCAGACCGTATCTTCCTAAAATGTGGTGTTTCCAGGTAACTGCAGCTTTAGAAACCTGGTATTGGCAATTACATTAAATCTAAACTCTGTTTTGATTTTAGATTTCTAAATATGACCCTATCACTACCTAAGTAGACCTACTTATTTCTATTATTCCCCATCATGCACCTTTTATTCATTTATTTAACATTTATTGAGCATGCATTTTATGTTATGCACTGGGGCACATGTTTATACATCTCATTCTTCTTCCTATGTGCTTATTCTGATTATTTCTTTATTTTGATAATACATACCCCCAATGCTCTCTTATTACTATTCTACTACTTTTTTTCAAGCTCAGCTTAAGTCTTATCTTCCATGAACTTTTCCTCTTCTAAATTGCATTTCTCCTTATCACCCATTCTTAATTTTAATTGCGTGCTTTTACATAGGGGAGTGGAGGAAACACTGTTCTAGGAGTGTTATTTCTGTTGTCTGTTTTAATTCTTATAACCCCCCATGAATTAGTGTAGTTTTTTTTATATTTACTAGATAAGAAATCTAAGAGGTTTAGTAGCTTTCCCAAAATCACATAGTCAGTGTTTGAACATACTTCTGTCTAACCCCAAAGTTTATAAAATTTTCCTCTTACACACTTAAAAGTAAATTGTAAAATTATTTAAATGCTCAGAAATGGAAAGTCCTCTTTCCACTGCTTCATCCTGAGATCTAGTTTGGTGTATTGTTGCAAACTGTCTTTATCATGCTTGCATATGTACATGTAAAAATTGAGAAACAAATTCATAAATAGAATATTATATATACCATGCTCTATCTTTTATTACTGAATTATCTTTACATGTTAGTCCATAAAGATCAATTGTATTAGTTTTAATAGTGCACCATGTTGCATTCTAGCAAAGCCTGTGTTTTTTCTTTTTTTTTTACTCTTTTATCTTCGAACTCCATTTCCATTCCACTCTACCCCATAGGCAGCTATTCCAGTGTCTTTAATAAATATCTTTATGTATTTTTACAACGTGGCTATCATTGTTATGTGTACATATATTTTAAGTGCATACCTATTGTATATTATCTCACTTAGTTTTACTTTTTTCCCTAAGTTCTGTTTCTGACCCATCTGTTTTTCTATGAGTGTATATATTGATTCTAACTGCTATGTGATGCTCCGCTATACTCATCCAAGTCTAGACTTATTTTTCCTGCATATGCACCCTTCTTAATGTACTCTGAATAATTTCACATCAGAATTATTTACCTAACTAGGTTGTAATTTACTCTAGAGTAGAAATCACAGTTCTTATAACATATCAGGGTACTTAGGAAAGCTGTATCTATGGTAGATACCAAATTGGCACAACTAAGCTGTTGATTGATAATACCATACATGTGGGGACTTTTAGGTTCTTAGGAATAACTTTAAAATATGATAAGGTGAGATCTTGAGTTATATTTTAATTAAGTATTAGTAAATAAGATAATGTCATAATCCCTAAGCTTTACCTGTCTCCTTTTCCATAGTTAAGCCTAGCAGACAGAGCACAGAATTTGGGAATAAAAAGACTTGGGTTTGAATCCTTCTTCTACTTGTCAGCTAGTAATTGTTATGTTAACCAAGTCTTCCCATGCAGGTTTTATAACAACATTGAGCTACTTCATAGTTAGAGGTGACCTGAAATTTTAAATTTAGGATCTAAACGTGGGAAGGCACAAATCTAGAGTTATCAGGATTTGGTCACTTGACTAAGATAGGGCAAAGTAACAAAATATTGCAGAAAATAAATTCAGATGGAAAGGATTCTGGGAATATGGCAGAGTAGGAAGCACCAGAAATATATCTCCCCAGCAGTACAATTATGGTGGTAGAGTCTGTTTGATGTAAGTATTTTGGATCTCTGGAGTCTTTTGAGGGTTTGCAACTTCCACCGAAAGGCTGGGATAATAAACTGTGGTTAATTTCAGTCAATTTCAGCACTTAGCTTTGTAGCAGCAGCTATGTATTCCCCACCTCTCAGTCCCAAGGCAGCCAGCCATGCAGGCATTCCAACAGCAGCTTGCAGGGTAAACAAAAAGGTCCCTGTCCAAATATCAGGATTCTGTGCTCTGATCATTGATAGCTACTTCTGATCTCCAAGGTATAGACAAAGAGGTAGAGGTAGGTAGTCATTGTTTTACACCCCACATCCTCCACTGTAACAAACCCCATCCTTTATGGTTGAAGTGACTTCTTGGGGATTTAAAGGGCCAGCACCCTTTTCTTTCCTGCTTCATTTCTTTCTTTTCCTTTTTTGGGGAGCCAGACATTACAAATGAGGACATTCAAAAGCAACCACATACACAAGGGGAATAAGAAAGTCATCATCTATACATAGGGAAGGATGCAGGCTTAGAAAATACCTGAGAAGATTTTAAGTTTGTACCTCAGACTGATCCTCAGCTCAGAGACAGCATGCAATTTAAAATAAACTAATAATAATAATAATAAACTATAAACATTGGGGAAAGAGGATAATCTTTCCATAGCTACCACATTATTAGATTCAAATGACTAGTTTTCAACAAAAGAATCACAAGGCATACAAAGAGACAGGAGAGTATGACTTATTCAATGGAAAAAATAAACAGAAACTGTCCCTGAAAAAGACCTGATGGTTCTCTATTAGACAAAGACTTTAAAACAGCTGTCTTAAAAAATGCTCAGAGAACTAAAGGAAGACATGAAGAAAGTCAAGAAAGCAATGTATGGCCCTGGCCGGTTTGGCTCAGCTGTTAGAGCGTTGGCCTGCAGACCGGAGAGGCCTGGGTTCGGTTCCCACTAAGGGCATGTACCTCAGTTACAGTTGTCCCTGGCCCCAGTTGGGGTCGCGTGGGTGGTAACCACTTGATGTGTCTCTCGCACGTCAGTGTTTCTCTCTCCCTCCTGCTCTATCTGAAGATAAATGCAAAAATATCCTCCGGTGAGGATAAAAAAAAAGAAAGAAAGCAATATATGAACAAAATGGAAATATCAATGAAGGAAAAGCCGAAAAAGGAACCAAAAAGAAATTCTGGAGCTGAAAAGTACAGTAACTGAAATGAAAAATTTATTAGAGGGATTCAAAGACAGATTTGAGCAGGTAGAAGGAATAATTGGTGAATTGAAGCTATGACAGTGGAAATTATTGAATCTGAGGAACAGAAAGAAAAAAGATGGAAGAAAAGTGAACAGATCATAAGGAACCCATGGAACATTATCTACTAGACCAATAAATGCATTGTGGGAGTCCTAGAAAGAGGAGAGAGAGAAAGGGACAGAGAGAATATTTGAAGAATTAATGGCTGAAAACTTCCAAATTTTGTTGAAATACATGAATATAAACATCTAGGAAGCTCAGCAAATTCTAAGTTGGTTCAACTCAAACAGACCCGCACCAGGACATTATAACTAAACTGTTAAAAGGCCAAGACAGAGAGAAGTGACTCATTACATATAACGGAGCTTTGGTAAGATTATCAGCAGATTTTTTCTTAGAAACTTTGGAGAGCAGAAAGCTTGGGCTGATTGATATGTTCAAGTTCTAAAAGAAAAACAGTCAACTAAGAATCCTATATCTGGCATGACTGTCCTTTGAAATAAGGGAGAAATTAAGACATTCCCAGATAAAGAAAAGCTGAGGTTATTCATTATTGCTAGATTGCACTGAAAGAAATGCTAAAGGGACCTGACTTGCAGATTGAAATGATAGAACACTAGACAGTAAGTTGAAGCCATTTGAAGAAATTGATCTCAGTAAAGGTTAATACATAGACAGTTATAAAAGCTAATGGTATTATAATAATGGTTTATAACTCTTCCTTTTTTTTACATGATTTAAGAGACTAATGCTTTTTAAAAATTATCAATTTATCGTTTTGGACAGAGAAGGATGTAATTGTATAAGATGTAATTTTGTGACATCAACAACTGAAAGGAGCGGGAAGGAAATGTAAAGGAGCAGAATTTTCATGTTATTGAAGTTAAGCTGGTACAGATCCAAAGAAGAGTATTATAACTAGGATAGTAAATGTAATCCCCATGGAAAATGCAAAGAAAATACATATAGAATATTTGCAAAAGGAAATGAGGGATGAATTTAAATGTTTCACTGCAAAAAGATCAACTAAACTCAAAAGAAGACAGTAGTGCAGGGAGTGAGGGACAAAAAAGGCATATGTAAAATAAATAGGAAAATGACAAATAAGTTTCTTCATAGCAGTCAACCTTAAAAAGGAAGGAAATATGCCACAACATGGATCAACTTTGAGAATATTATGCTAAGCGGAATAAGCCAATGAAAAAAAGATGAATGAATACTGTTTGATTCCACCCACCTGAGGTACTTCAAGTAGTAAAAATAATGGAAACAGAACATAACAAAGTGATTTCCAGGGACTGGGGAGCAAGGGGGAATGGAGAATTATTGTGTAATGGGTATAGAGTTTCAGTTTTGCAAGATGAAGAGAGTTCTAGAGATGGGTAGGTGGTGATGACTGCATAACTATGAATATATTTAATACTGTTGAACTGTATACACTTAAAATGGTAAATTTTGTGTTATATATATTTCACTGCAATTTAAAAAATTGAAAAAACATGCCCGGCTGGTGTGGTTCAGTGGTTGAGCATCGACCCATGCGCCAAAAGGTTACCATTTCAATTCCCAGTCAGGGCAATAATAAAAAATTTAAAAAAATTGAAAAAACACACGTGACTGTTTTACAATTATAAGGATCCTTGGCTCTCTCATAGTTGAGGAACCTTTGTTCAAAAAAGATAATCAAAAATAAATGCTGCACAAAGCAGAGAAAATTATTCTGGTGGACATGGAATATCTGTTTTCTGGGCAAATTACATAGAAGGTAAATAGCAAGTAAGCCATCACCTCTTTTTAGAAACTCTAAGATCATTTACTGTTCTAATAGAAAGCCAAGTTCTATTTTTTATTAATATGATACTTGACAGTAAAAATTTCTCAAGCTTTTTGAAAAACTTAATGAATACACATATCAACACAGCAGTCTCTGGTAAAATTGTGACACATATTATTGCTGTCAAAGGAACCTGAATGCTGGAGCAGGGAAAATGGATTGCAGTATTTTTTTTAGTGCTTTAAGGTAATTTATAGTAGTGGAAATAAGATGTACATACAAAACTGTAATTCTGACAGTGTGTATATAATTACCATATGGTATTTGGTTGGACCAACTCAACATTTCATAACATTTGAATTTGAAAGCCTTTTGAGCAAGAGAATGCCATTATTCTAGTAGTAGTGTGTAAAAATTAATATGAACTAATGTGTACAAAGAAGTAAAAGGGAGAGCTTAAAAGCAGGTTTCCGCCCTGGCCATTGTGGCTCGGTTGGGCACCGTTCTGTGCACTGAGAGGTCGCTGGTTCGATTCCTGATCAGGCATGTGCTTGGGTTAGGGATAGGGTTAGGGTTGTATCTTCCTCAGTTTTATTTATACTTTCCATCAGAATTTAGCTCTGGAGTCACATCTGTTCAACTTGATCACCTCCAGACTGAGCTGGCTTTCTTCTGAGCTTCAACACTCTGCTTTACATATCTCCCTCAAAAGTCTTTGATAGGGGTTGGCAAATAGTTGCCGATTGGTCAAAGTCAGTCCATCGTCTGTGTTTATAAATAAAGTTTTAATAAAAGATTTTATACTTATTTGTTTGCTGCTTTTACAGTACAGTGGCAAAGTTGAGTTGAGACAGATACCAAAATATTTACTGTCTGGCTTTTACAAAATAAATTTACTGACCGCTAGTCTGTGAGCTTTTTAATTTACTTTTCTGCTGCTTCCTGTACCTGTTAGGTAAATTCATTGCTGCTGAATACTTTTGTAAAATTATTAAGGAGTTCAGGTATGCAAGGTATGGTAATGAAAAACCCTATCTTTAAATCAAAGCATAGGTAATTCCTGGATGTGTTCCAGCTCTACAGGTAGACTGTGTAACAATAAGACTCAGCCAAGCTTCATTTTCATCTTTTTCACTTGTTCCTGATCCCTCCATGGGTGAATTAATTGCTCTCTCAGTGTACTTACTGCAGTTTTAAAACTTGTGCATTTTATTTTAGGCATTAGTTTATATTTCTGCCACCATATGAACTCAAAATCAAGAGAACTGTATTTAATTTTTCTTCATATAGTGCCTTATGTGAATATGGAAAGGAACTTAAAAATTTGTGTAGTCTTTAGTAAGAAGAATTGAACTGAGAGGCTTGCTTTTTTAAGAAAATTAATTTAAAATTTTAATTTTAGGTTATTTTAATCTAATATTTGTTATTTTAGAAAATACTAAAGAGATGAGAGTAAAAATAAAGCTTGTTACTTACCTTTCATTCTGTTTTCTGAAAAAATTTCTTCCGAGGTAAAAACACTTTTATCTCATTGGTAGCTATCCTTCCATACTCTCTTTCCTTCTTATGTAAACCAAATATTCATATAAAATTATACAGAATTTAGGTATATAATATACATAAACATTTACTTTAAAAAATAGGAATATGCTGTGCATAATATTCTGCAACTTTCTGTTTTTCATTAACGGTGTACAAAGAAGTACTTCATTCTTTTTAGTGGCTGCATAGTATTTCTAGTACAATGATACCACAATATATTTAACCAGGCCCCTTGATGGTCATTTAGGGTGTTCATATGTTTTTGCTTTGACAAACAGTGCTGGGGTAAGCATCCTCATACACATCATTTTGTGTTTGTGATACTGTATCTATAGGATAAATTTGAAATTGCAGTTTGTTCTTTCAAATGATATGTGAATTTAAAATTTTTACATACTTTGCAAAATGACTATAATTAATCTTCTCACAAATAAGGTATGCAAAGACCTATTTCCCCATATTCTGACCAACATTGTGTATTATTTTATTTTTGTCAAATTCAGATGATATTTTGTTTTAATTTTTTTTAAATTTAGTATTTTGTATACGTGTGTTTATTGGCTGTTTTCCCTGTCATTTGCCTTTCTAGTCTTTGATCCACTTTTTAGTTTGACTGCCAGTATTATTCTCAGTGATTTGGAAGAACTTGTGTATATAAGAGAATTAGCAATCAATCAATTATGTTGCAGATATTTTCTCATATAATTGTTATATCTTTTGTCATGCAGATGCTTTAAATTTTATAGTCAACTTTGTCGTTCTTGTTTCTTGTGATTTGTAGGTTTTGTGTTGTGTTTTGAAAATCCTGCTTCAGTCAAAGGGTATAGAAAATTAACCTATGTGTTCTTTTGTTGTATTTAACTTTTTTGTTTTTTTCAAAATGCCATTTACTTGGAATTATTTTTGTATTAGGTCTGAGTAATAAATTAAGCCTTTTTACTTTCAAGTGGCCAACTCCAGAATGTATTTATATATGGTAAATATAGGGAGAGAAAAAAAAGCAAGAGATGTCTCCCAAGTTTCCAGCCTGATTTTTTCCCTCTCATGATTTATTTTTATGTTAAAAAAAAGCATTATAGAAAAAAAGATATACTTAAAAACAAAGAAGTCCTCCACTGTCATACTGTCATAAAATATAAATTATGTTCATTTTTCACTCCTCTCTGGAAATTTTTCATATTTTTTTCGATTTATAAGAGATACTTCAGTAGCAGTCTTTTACATTTTAAAGTTAGTATGTGTCTTGCACATGATATGTCAGTTGACTTGACTATTACTAACAATTAAAAATAACTTACGGCCTAAATTTTTTTTTTTTTTGGCATATGCCCCTAGCGGAAACCGAACCCAGGACTCTCTGGTCCGCAGGCCGACACTTCAACCACTAAGCCAAACCGGCCAGGGCTACAGCCTAAATTTTTTAAAGGATTAGTTCCCTTCAACCCAGCTCTTCCTGAATCCTTTTAGTGGCCAAGGAAAGAGTATTGTGTAATGTAAATTTTAATAGAAATGACAGATCTCATTTTTCCCTTCTAGATTTTGGACTGGTTTGTACAGATATGTTTGGCCCTGAAGCATGTACATGATAGAAAAATTCTTCATCGAGACATAAAATCACAGGTATGTTTGTGTTACTGATAACTTATAAATGAATATGGATGTGGAACCAGCATTGTTTTGGGTCAGAATTTTTTAACCCAGTGCAGTCTGCATCAGATTATCTGTTTTCACTCTTTAATCCTAGAAATCTTCATCAGCATCTTGTGTTATATCCCCTGCCTACTTCCTGTCTCCTCCTCTTTCTTGGTTTGCTTCCTCATTTAACAGAAAAATATACAAAAAATGAATGTGTGGAAGGTATATTTTTTTAGATGACTTTATTCCATTCTCTTTAATGATAATTTAGATCTACATTTCTAGGTTGGAAATTGGCTTCTAGTTGCTGTTCAGAAATTTAAAACCATTGTGGTTTCTTACCCTTCTTTCTTCTCTCTGGGAGATTTTAGGATATTCTCTCTGTCCCCATTGTTAGGAAATTTCAGTGTTGTCCATTGGTGAAGTTCAGTTTTTATTCATTATGCTGTGTGCTTTTGATCTGAGAATATATATTTCCCAGGAAATGTTTAATATTCTTTATATATTATTTCTCTATTACTATCTTCAAGGTTGTCTTCTGGATTTTTTTCTAGACATATGAGCTTAATCTATCCCTTCAAATATCTTCTTTGTATCATGTTTTATCTCTTTGTCTCTGTTGTACTTTAGGTGAATTCCTCAGCCTTCCTTTTTAATTTTGTTTAAACTGATGCTTATCTCATCTACTTAAAATTTTTTTATTTTATATCTTGATTTTAGGAAAAGAGGAAGTGAGGGAACAAAGGAGGGGGAGAGAGAGACATTGATTTGTTGTTCCACTTATTTATGCATTCATTTGTTGCTTTCTTGTATGTGCCCTGAGGATTGGCATATTGGGACAACACTCTAACCAACTGAACTACCTGGCCAGGGCTCTCATCTATTTTTTTTAATAATAATAATTATTATTATTTTTTTTATCCTCACCCGAGGACATTTTCCCATTTTTTTTGTTCAGGTAGAGTGGGAGGGAGAGAGAGGAACAGAGAGAGAGAGAGAAACATCGATGTGAAAGGAGCACATCAAGTGGCTGCCACCCGCACAACCAACCAGGGCCGGGGACATACTGCAACCGAGGTACGCGCCCTTAGCGGGAACTAAACCCAGGTCTCTCAGGACCGCAGGCCGACACTCTAACCGCTGAGCCAAACCGGCCAGGGCTTTAATAATAATTTTTAAAAATATTTTTTTCTATATTGATTTTAGAGAGAGAGAGAAACATTGATGAGAGAGAACATTGATTGGCTGCCTCCTACATGCACCCCCACTGGGGATTGGGCCCATAATCTGGGCATGTGCCCTGACTAGTAATCAAACGGGTAACCTCTTGGTGCATGGGTTGACACTCGACCAGTGAGCCACACTAGCCAGGCTATTAATATGTTTTTACTGATTTTTTTTAGAGAGAGGAAGGGAGAGAGAGAAAGAAACATCAGTCAGCTCCCTCCTGCACACCGCCTACTGGGGATAGAGCCTGCAAGAGCCTGCAACTCGGGCATATGCCCTGACTGGAATAGAATTGGGAACTCTCAGTCCATAGGATGATGCTCAATCCACTAAGTCACACTGGCCGGTCTAATAATAATTTTTTCCTCTTCAAGATTTTTAAATGAATTTTCACATACATCTATTATTTCTGCTCTGTTCTTATTTCATAATGTCTTGTTCTTTTTATTTTTTATTTTTATTATTATTTTTTAAATTAATTAATTTGTTTTTGTTACAGATGTTTCTCCTTTTTCCCCCACTGATTCCCCCCTCCCCCTCCCTCCCGGTCCTGCTCCCAGGTTTGTTGTCCATGTCCATTGTTCATGCATACATGCATATAAGTTCTGTGGTTTATCCTCCCCCCGCCCCCCCTGAGGATTGTCAGTCTGTGCCCCACTTCCACGTCTCTGGGACTACCCCATTCCTCAGACTGTTACGTTCATTATATTCCACAAATAAGTGAGATCATGTGGTATTTGTCTTTCTCTGCTTGTTGTTTTGCTTAGGATAATACTTTCCAGGTCCCTCCATGTCGTCTCAAAGGATAAGAGATCTTTCTTACAGCTGCACAGTACTCCATTGTGTATATGTACCACAGCTTTTTTATCCACTCATCTATTGATGGACACTTGGGCTGTTTCCAGATCTTAGCTATTGTAAATAGTGCTACTATGAACATGGGGGTACATATATTCTTTCTGCTTGGTGTTTCAGGTTTCTTAGGATATATTTCTAGAAGTGGGATCACTGGGTCAAGTTCAATTTTTAATTTTTTGAGGTAACACCATATTGTTTTCCATAGTGGCTGCACCAGTCTGCATTCCCACCAGCAATGTACTAGAGTCCCCTTTTCTCCACACCCTTGCCAACACTTGTGTGATGATTTGTTGTAGGCGGTCATTCTGACAGGTGTGAGGTGATAACCTCGTTGTTTTAATTTACATCTCTCTGATGATTAGTGATGTTGAGCATTTCTTCATATGTCTCTTAGCCATTTGTATGTCCTGTTTGGAGAGGTGTCTGTTTAGTTCCTCAGCCCATTTTTTAATTGGGTTCTTTGTCTTCCTTTTGTTGAGTTGTATGAGCACTCTATATATTTTGGAAAGTAAACTCTTATCTGATGTATCGTTGGCATTTATGCCCTCCCATAGACTTGGTTGCCTTTGTATTTTGGTGGTTGTATCTTTTGCTGTGCAGAAGCTTTTGAATTTGATGTAGTCCCATGTGTTCCTTTTCTCCTTTGTTTCTGTTGCCTTAGGTGATGTATCAGTGAAAATTCTTCTGTATATAATGTCTTAAATTTTGTTGCCTACATTTTCTTCTAGGATTTTTATGGATTCATGAGTCACATTTAAGTCTTTTATCCATTTTGAGTTTATTCTTCTGTATGGTGTAAGTTGATGGTCTAGGTTCATTTTTTTGCATGTACCTGTCCAATTTTCCCAACACCATTTATTGAAGAGGCTGTCTTTACTCCACTGTATGTTCTTACCACGTTTGTCAAATATTAAATGAGAATATTGTCTTGGGTCCATTTCTGGGTTTTCTGTTCTGTCCCACTGGTCTATATGCCTGCTCTTGTGCCAGTACCAGGCTGTTTTGATTACAGTGGCTTTGTAGTATGACCTGAAATCTGGTAATGTGATCCCTCCAACTTTGTTCTTCTTTTTCAAGATTGCTATGGCTATTTGGGGTCTTTTTTGGTTCCATATGAACTTTTGAAGTATTTATTCTAGTTCTGTGAAGTATGTGGTTGGTATTTTGACGGGAATTGCATTGAATCTATATATAACTTTGGGTAGTATGAACATTTTAATGATGTTAATTCTTCCAATCCATGAACAAGGGATGTGCTTCTACTTTTTTATATCTTCCTCTTTTTCTTTTTTCAATGTCCTGTAGTTTTCTGCGAATAGGTCCTTTATTTCTTTGGTTAAGTTTATTCCTAGGTATCTTAATTTTTTTGCTACGATGGTAAATAAGATTGTTTTTTAGTTTCTCTTTCTGTGAGTTCATCATTGGTGTATAAGAATGCCGTTGATTTCTTGACGTTAATTTTATATCCTGCTACTTTGCCAAATTCATTTATTAAGTCAGTAAGTTTTTGATGGAGTCTTTGAGGTTTTCTACATATACTATCATGTCCTCTGCAAATAATGACAGTTTCACTTCCTCCTTTCCAATTTGGATCCCTTTTATTTTTACTTCCTATCTGATTGCTGTGGCTAAGACTTCCAGTACTATGTTAAATGAGAGTGGCAAAAGTGGCATCTTTGTCTTTTTCCTGTTCTTAAGGGAAATGCTTTTAATTTTTTCCCATTGAGTATGACGTTGTCTGTAGGTCTTTCATATATGGCCTTTATTATGTCGATATATGATCCCTCTATTCCCAGATTGCTGGGCGTTTTTATCAGAAATGGGTGCTGGATTTTGTCGAATGCTTTTTCAGCGTCTATTGATATGATCATATGACTTTTATCTTTCATTTTGTTTATGTGGTGTATCACATTTATTGATTTGTGAATATTGTACCAACCTTGCATCCCTGGGATGAATCCCACTTGGCCATGGTGAATACTTTTTGATGTATTGCTGGATTCGATTTGCCAGTATTTTGTTCAGGGTTTTGGCATCTATGTTCATCAGGGATAATGGCTTGAAGTTTTCTTTCTTTGTAGTGTCTTTTTCTGGTTTTGGAGTTAGAATTATCCTGGCCTCATAAAACGAGTTTGGAAGTCTTCCTTCTTGAATTTTTTGAAATAGTTTCAGGAGAATGGATATTAGTTCTTCTTTGAATGTTAGGTAAAATTCCCCCGTGAAACCGTTCGGGCCTGGGCTTTTGTTTGCTGGGAGAGTCTTGATTTTATCTTCAATTTCTTTTTTTCTTATTGGTGTGTTCATGTTCTATCTCTTCCCAGTTCAGTTTTGGGAGACCTTTGTTTCTAGAAATGTATCCATTTCGATTAGATTGTCAAATCTGTAGCTGTATAATTGTTCATAATATCTATTAACAATCCTTTGTATTTCTGTAGTGTCAGTTATTATTTCTCCTCTTTCATTTCTGATTTTGTGTATTTCGGTTCTCTCTCTTTGTTTCTTGATGAGTCTAAGAATCCATCACTCTTGTTTATCTTTTCAAAGAATCAGCTCTTTTTTCTTTGATCGTTTGAATTGTTTTTTTGGACTCTATGTCATTTATTTCTGCTCTGATCTTTACTGTTTCTTTCCTTCTACTTGCTCTGGGGTTTTCTTTTTGTTTGCTTTCTAGTTCTTTAAGTTGTGAGGTGAGATAGTCTATTAGAAATTTTTCTTGTTTTTTGAGGTAGGCCTGTAGTGCTTTTGCTGCATCCCATAGATTTTGTGTTGTGTGTTCATTTTCATTGGTTTCCAGGAAGTTTTTTATTTCTTCCTTAATCTCCATGGTAACCCATTCATTGTTCAATAACATGCTATTTAGCCTCCATGTTTTCAAATGTCTTTTTATGTTCTTGTTGCAA